TTTCGTTGCGTCCTTGCCACTCTCCATATCAATGATCTTCATGAGTGGACGACTCTTGCTTTGCTGCGAAAGAACGCCAAGGCTTTCTCTTTTCCATGCCGAGTCATCTCTGAATTCCCGTGGATCGAATCTTGCGATCCAAAGAAGGTGACATGATGCATCGCACAACCTGAGCTGTCAGTTCGAAGATAATGTCCAATGGCAACGCCTTTCCACACTCCAATACTCTATAGCTCATAGAATCTGGGTGTATACTTGTGTTGTATCAGAATCGCCATGGACTAGATATTCGAGACACCAAAGCTCAGCAATTATTGACATTGACCCCAAATTTCTTCCACACTCTACTACTCTATAGCTCAAAGAATCTGGGTATATACTTGTATTGTATCAGAATCGCCATGGACTAGATATTCGACACACCGAAATCCAGCAATTATTGACATTGACCCCAAATTCCTTCCACACTCTACTACTCTATAGTTCAGAGAATTTAGGCGTATACGTGTATTGTATCAGAGTCGCCATGGAAAAGATATTCGAGACACCGAAGTTCAACAACTATCGACATTGATCTTAATGTCCTTCCACACTCCACACTCCACTACTCTATAGCTCATAGAATCTAGGTGTATACTTGTATGGTATCAGAATCGCCATGGACGAGATATTCGAGACGCCGAACTTCAGCATTTATTGACATTGACCTTGAATTCATCCCACGCTCTACTACTCTATAGTTCATAAAATCTAGGTGTATACTTGTATTGTATCAGAATAGGCTATTCTGAATAGCCATGTAGAAGGTATTGGAGACACCGAAAATCAGCAATTATTGACATTGACCTTAAGTTTATCCCACGCTCCACTACTCTATAGTTCATAGAATCTAGGTGTATACGTGTATTGTATAAGAGTCGCCATGGACCAGATATTCGAGACACCGAAGTTCAGCAATTATTGAAACTGACCCCACAGTCAGGGTGGTCGGTGGCTGGGGGTTTATAATAAACCCCGTCGAATAAACCCCGGATAAATACCCGGGGGCTAACGAGTATAAACCCCGGGGGCTAATAACTCATTCGGGCGCGCGCGGAGCGCGCGAAAGAAAAACCAAGGTACAAAAGAATGCGGCTGGATTTTCATCACTGACCGCAATGCGGGCACCGCATCCGAGTGTCTATTATATACTCGGATGCTACGATTATATACTACATAATCGTAGCTCCTTCATTGGACCCAGTGCTTGTGAATCTGTGCTTCGCAAAATTTGCGAAGCAAATTGTTCTGTCATGGTTGTGGACGGGTTGCTTTCACTATTCAACAGCTATTACTACAAGGCCCCAATTACATACTGGATCGCTCACTTACATGTTCGCCGAACATTGTTCGGCAGTCATTCGTCCAAGTCAATGAGACTACTACTTCGACATGGTTATACACCGAGAAGATTTACATGAAGGCAGCAATACGTATAGCTCAAAACTGTGGGTGTACACTAAGTTGGTGGCTGGTATAGTGTAGGACTACTATTTGAGTTGGGGGTCGGTATAGTATGTGAGTACTACATAACTTATGTAACAGTTGTTGGTCGGTCTAGTGCGGGAGTACAATATAAGTTGGTGGTTTTTTATACTCATTTGATCCCCGAACTTGTCGAGCCGTTTGTGATTCACAAATAGTGAGTCTCACTAACTTGCATTAAACTTGCAACTTGCATTCACCACCATCAAATTGACCACTTCGACCCTCTCTCATCACCGATGACAACGTCAGTTCCTCTCACGTACTGGAGAGGATCCAACTTCTTGGGGTCCACCTTACGAGGCATAGTGAGCAACCGTTGGTAGCATGGATACGCAGGTTCATTCTATTCTCGCTCGCCCGCCGAAGGCGGGCGAGAAAATAAACCCCCATCTCATAAACCCCCAGTATATCACCTCGGGGCTTACGAATAACCCCCAGGGGGGAGTTATTCTATAAACCCCGGAAACCGACCACCCTGCCCACAGTCCTTCCACACTCCACTACTCTATAATTCATAGAATCTAGGTGTGTACTTGTATTGTATCAGAATGGCCATGGACATGAAATTCGAGACACCAAAATTCGGTAATTATTGATATTGACCCCAAGTTCCTTCCACACTCCAATACTCTATAGCTCATAGAATCTGGGTGTATAATTGTATTGTATCAGAATCGTCATATACTAGATATTCGAGAGTCTCGAATCGAGACACCGAAATCCAGCAATTATTGACATTGACCCCAAATTCGTTCCACACTCTACTACTCTATAGCTCAGAGAATTTAGGTGTATACGTGTATTGTATCGGAGTCGCCATGGACAAGATATTCGAGACACCGAAGTTCAACAACTATCGACATTGACCTTAATGTCCTTCCAAACTCCACACTCCACTACTCTATAGCTCATAGAATCTAGGTGTATACTTGTATGGTATCAGAATCGCCATGGACAAGATATTCGAGACGCCGAACTTCAGCATTTATTGACATTGACCTTAAATTCATCCCATGCTCTACTACTCTATAGTTCTTAAAACCTAGGTGTATACTTGTATTGTATCAGAATAGCCATGTAGAAGGTATTGGAGACACCGAAAATCAGCAATTATTGACATTGACCTTAAGTTTATCCCACGCTCCACTGCTCTATAGTTCATAGAATCTAGGTGTATACGTGTATCGTATAAGAGTCGCCATGGACAAGATATTCGAGACACCGAAGTTCAGCTATTATTGAAACTGACCCCACAGTCCTTCCACACTCCACTACTCTATAATTCATAGAATCTAGGTGTATACTTGTATTGTATCAGAATGGCCATGGACATGAAATTCGAGACACCAAAATTCGGTAATTATTGACATTGACCCCAAGTTCCTTCCACACTCCAATACTCTATAGCTCATAGAATCTGGGTGTGTAATTGTATTGTATCAGAATCGCCATAGACTAGATATTCGAGAGTCTCGAATCGAGACACCGAAACTCAGCAATTATTGACAATGTCAATTTGACATTGACCCCAAATTTCTTTCACATTCTACTACTTTATAGCTCATAGAATCTGGGTGTATACTTTCATTGTATCAGAATTGCCATGGAATAGATATTCGAGACACCGAAACTCAGCAATTATTGACATTGACCCCAGATTCCTTCCACACTCTACTACTCTATAGCTCATAGAATTTAGGTGTATACGTGTATTGTACCAGAGTCGCCATGGACAAGATATTCGAGACACCGAAGTTCTACAACTATTGACATTGACCTTAGTGTCCTTCCACACTCCACTACCCTATAGCTCATAGAATCTAGGTGTATACTTGTATGGTATCAGAATCGCCATGGACGAGATATTCGAGACGCCGAACTTCAGCATTCATTGACATTGACTTTGAATTCATCCCACGCTCTACTACTCCATAGTTCATAAAATCTAGGTATATACTTGTATTGTATCAGAATAGCCATGGAGAAGGTATTGGAGACACCAAAAATCAGCAATTTTTGACATTGACGTATACTTGTATTGTATCAGAATCGCCATGCACAAGATATTCGAGACACCAAAATTTGGTAATTATTGACATTGACCCCGAATTTCTTCAACACTCTACTACTCTATAGCTCACAAAATCTGGGTGTATACTTGTATTGTATCAAAATTGCCATGGACTAGATATTCGAGACACCGAAGTTCAACAACTATTGACATTGACCTTAAATCTATCGTTCATTCACAATCTATCCCACGATCTACTACTCTATGGTTCATATAATCTAGGTGTATACTTGTATTGTATCAGAATCGCCCAGTTCTCATTAAATGATGCCCGATTGTTCTCTGTTGAAGCCTAGTTGCTCATGACCCTCTAGTATCACCTCCTCCGTTACCTTTACCGCGGGGACTTATTAATAACGTCCTCGTAAGTCGCATTTTCTTGTAATATCTCGACTGTCAATCATCACCGATAGGCGGTGCCTTGTATTTCCATGCTCATACCTTCAAATCATCTTTCGTAAATTCTCAGACTAGAAATTGTAGCATATAATTCAATTGTTTTCATTTCTTTCTCGTTTCTTTTTAAAAATTTTTGAAAGAAATAATGAAAAAGAAATAAATGAATTCTTTTTGAAAAAGAAAGAACTCTGCTCGGTGGTCAAATCGCTCACCAGGAACACCGGTCACATTCAAGGCCTCAGTTTGAGCTCCACTTTCCTCCAACTCCATCTTGCCATCTGTTGAAGTGGCCTTGTCTTAAGTATCGTCCAATCGATCACCATGGCGTGTCACACGCCGCGTGTGCGATAGTGCTCTTCTGTTGATCAATTCCAACCAGGGGTATTGAGATAACACAAGTATAGCCAAGATAGGGTAGGTGCAAGATAGGATAGGTCTCGTATCAAGTACACCGAAATAAGGAAATAACTTTGTGCCACAGCTAACGAACAAAATAGCTATTCTACTATAAACCCCGGAAACCGACCACCCTGCCCACAGTCCTTCCACACTCCACTACTCTATAATTCATAGAATCTAGGTGTGTACTTGTATTGTATCAGAATGGCCATGGACATGAAATTCGAGACACCAAAATTCGGTAATTATTGATACTAGCAGAACCCGTCGCTTCGCTCCGGGGTTCTCTAGCTCGCTGACGCTCGGGGGTGTAAGCGATATGTTAAGATACACCAGTTCAATTATGTCCTTGTTGCACTGAATCGAGAACGTAGACCTATGCATCCTTGGAGGTCTTAGGTTGAGATGAAAAGATCAATCTTATACGGAGCGTGCCACTTTTTCAAGCAAGTCACGAGATTTTCGATTTCTTTTCCAACAAGGATAGTTCCCTCTGAAATTGTAGCAATCGATACCCAGTCACATAGCGGATACCATATTAAGAGGAATACGTGATACTCGTAACCATAACGGTTAAACCGTTCCATAGATATTCAGACAAGCGCCCATTCTGACCGCTTTCAACCGTGCCAGTTTCTTACGCAACAATCACCGTACTATGCCACGCTCCTTATTCATCCTCAAGCTAACACTCTCGGAGTAACTTGAGAACACGATTCTGTTAGCGGATCGTATGATAGCGAGGACACAACACAGAGCCGCTCAGGGCGGCCCGCTCTGGAGCACAATCTAATCATTAGATGTTACTAACATCATGTTAGTGTGGATGATATGAGATAGTAGCTAGCACATGGTGATTCACATGCGACTGTATGCTATACTGAGCTCTGTCCAGTCATATGAACACACGATACAACAGAGTCGTCGAAAACTCAGCTTGATAGTACACTGCATTGAATAGATTGAAGCGAGTCGGGCAAACGATGATGGACTTAAGTACTTAATCGGGTAGTAGCAAGTCGAACTCCGGATACGAACTTCATAAACCGGATGGGTCTCCATGAATTGCAGATCAAGATGGCGAATCATTCCCTCATGCAGGTTCTACTGTATATCCATGTTGAGGTTAGTCTTTAAACTTATCTGACTTAGAGTCTCCAAGTTAGAGAACCCGTCGCTTCGCTCCAGAACTCTCAAGCTCGTTTTTGCTCAGAGTAGAAGCAGACAGTGAGTGGAACCCTAAGGCCTATTTCACAAGAAACGCTCCTTAAGGTGCACCTTTAATTTAGGAGCAAGGGACAAGGAGACTTACACCTTACGCGAAGTGCTTTCACTATAGTTGCACCTCGTGCTCCGTACTGAGGTCCGCGAGGTGCATCTTCAGCTTAAGAGTATAGAGTATACCGGCGCGTATGAAAACGTCGACGCAGTGCTCCGATGAAGCTCAAAAATAAGGTAATGGCCATTGAGTACAGCAAACTCAAAAACACTACCACCATCAACTCGCTCGAGAATAATCGGTCATCACCGTAAAACGCTAAAGCGCCAAGTCGAATATGCAATTGCAAGTATAATTGCTTGGTTCAGGGACAGAACATCCGCGTACGAGTGTCTCGCCGCGACACGCATGGTCTGGCGGGAAAGAGCGAAGCGAACAACCGAGAATGGTAAGGCCGGTGCGATAAAGTGCCATAATGTACCACCGGAGCAGTTTCACGGCGCCAAGGAGGGGGCTTGAAATATCTCCTATGAAATCGCTTTACGTGGGGAGACTCTCCCTGCTCCTTGTAGGGTAAGGACTCCCTACTAAGGAGCCTTACGGTGAGGAGCCTAGTGACACCTTACCTCACTCCTACCCCGCAAATCGTGAGAATGTAAAAGTGCCTTGGAACGAAACCGTAAGCTACCTCACAATTTTTGCTCTTTATGAGGGCTTGTGAAATAGCCTCCTAACGATGCGGGAAAATTATAACGTTGTGTGTGTTCTCCTGAAGATCGGGAGTTAGGATCTGATGCGAGAGATATAGTGGCAGCAAGTAGTCTATTACAAAGAATTTCGTAAAACGATAAGGGATTACTTAAATAGGACTTTCATACTGCAGCGAGCATTCGCTGTAGAGCACACGTTGACTGGAGAGTATATTGCGTGTGTGTGACATAAGAAGCGACCAATGGAAACAGGTTTGTAAGAATTCCTGGAAGGTATTGAAATTGCTATACTCCTACTGGGGTGCTAATCGTCTTTGAAACATCCCTTGTATCCCAAAGCCATAAGGTCCAGCAGGTAATGGACCTTAGCCGGTAGCTTAGCCACCTTAGCCGGCTACCTGCGGCTAGCTTAGCAGGTAGCCGAGACACAGATATAGACTGCGACTTCACGAGAGAGTACCGAATCACATGATGAACATTTCACAATCATACGACCAAGAGAGTGAGGTTAAATATCTTCATTGAGGTAGAAAAATCGTCAATCGCACTAACGGTTGCAAGTGAACAGTATCGGCTTAGGGGTGAAACAGACGTATTATTCGAATCGAATAATTCGATGGATTT